CCCAAGCTGTCACACGTCGGTGGCAGCATCATGCTTGGGGAAGGCTTGTCTTGAGCATGCGAAGGAAGATTGGTGGAGCTTAGTAAAAATCAATTAGAGGCGGGAAAAGACGGATATGCTACAGAGCCGCCAGCGACACTTTGGACGCTCAACAACAGATCTTCATCACTTTGGCCAAAACAATGAAAAGCCAGCTAATGTCTTGTACAAATGCATGTTTTAGCATTTCCTCAGTCGACTTTTTGCATTTAATTAAAAACATTCTTAAAGAAATAAAGCTGCATACGTATGTTTGCAGACTGGAATCAAAGTCTAACAGTAAAAAGGGTCAAATAAATCTGATTCTGATTCAAAAATATAAATCAAACGGCTATAAAAGCAAAGTTAAAAAGGTGACGCATCACTTCCTGTGGGATCTTTACTGTTTGGTTAGGAAGTCCCTGTTTCAATGTGTCCTTGCTCAGCTCAGCTAGTCTTTGCAAACCAAAAGAGAAGTCATCTTAGGGCAAAGCATGACTCATTTTCTTATTATAACTGGACTGAATGAAAGAAAAACAAGTTTCAATAAGATTTCACCTCCTCTTCTGGAGAGGGAGCTGACTAATTCGGCAGATGGGGAGAAAAATAACCCGTGTGACCCGGTTCCTGTCCAACACACACACATTCAGACTGAAACACCAACCTGTGGGTCCATAGGCAAACACGGTGGCATTGTATCCTGATATGAGGCCTTCAATGAGCCCTTTGGTTGTAGCTCGGTAAACCTCTTCCTGCAGAAAATCAGAGAAAGCAACAGAAATGAAATCGCAGCGCCGTTTCTTCCTGACTTCTGTTCATCCGAGCTTCCTTTCTAACTGACCTGGCTGGCCGAGAAGTCGAACGCCACGTCGAACATGTAGGTCTTCTCCCTGGAGCGGTTGGCACGCAGGATGTCATCTGGATCTTCCATTGGGTCCATCAGAACCACCATCTAATAAAATTTAAAAAAAGGAATAAACAGCATGAGTCAG